CCCCCACCACCAGTATAATCCCTCTACGAGTGAGTAGCTGATCCGATTCGATGACAAACTCTTCCGACTTCCTTCAAATTTGCATTTTTTCAAAGAGCGAGCATTCACCGGAAAAACGACCGAGCATGCATTAACTCACTGATGATTTTTGGCTCGTTCATCCTCTCCCAGTCTGCTAGCCAGGGAGGATATTCACTATTTATATGTGTAAAAATTTCTACAACACATAAATTGATATTAATATCTACCATTTGGCTTGCACTTTCAAGCTTTCGCTTTTAGTGCATTGTTTGGTAGGATTGCTCTAATTTATTTACCAAATTAGGGTTACATTTCTTCTTCACATGACACACTGTTTTTGGGCACATGTTCAACACCACTATCTTCTTCACCCTATTATATTTCCCTCTCCCTTCCAATTTAATAAAATTCACCGAATGTAGGATCGACTCCGTCTTATGCACGGCCTAGTTAGACTCTAACTTTGATTCCAACACCCAGTACCGGTTCAGCCCTTATTTTCCTAATCCCTTCCCCCCACAGGGCCCAAACGGCCCGTGGGATCTTTGACTTATATACGTGGTTAGGTTTTACTTGTATATGCCCATTTCATTTCAGCTCATGCCTTTTGTTGCTTATTTGGAAATATTTTTGTATTACAGGACGCAAGCGGATGTGGATCGTCGTAAAGCAGTGATTCGTGAAATTCGTCATGAAAACAATGAACGCATGCGTCAAGGACTTCCACCAATTTTCAGGACAAGAGGTTTGCGTAGAAAAAATCTCCTTGCTTTAGGATTTTTTGTCCATTCCCTTGCTTTTTTATGAATTTGACTTTGTCTGGGATAAAAAAAGATCAGCCTTTTCTTTACTGATGGGCTGGAATTTGATTTAGCGTCATTTAAGGACTGTTTTTTGATCTCTCAGGATATATGAGGCATTTTTTACCTCTCCGTCAGAGTTCCCTCTCTCTCTCTCTCTCCTTTTGTCTAAAAGTTATGTGCCATCAGATCGTATCAGCAATGGTAACGTAAATTTCTTTTTGAAATTTTCGTAGTTTCTAGAGGATACAAGTTAGATTGACCTAAGCGGCTTTCGAAAAAGAGGGATCTAACGAAAACCTTGCAAGCAGGGGATTGTTGTTAGCACTTGTTACGTCTCAGCTTACCCTACAGATTGCCTCACATGTCATACGGTTTGGACCACATCAACGACCCCACTATTCCATTAATTAATTCTCCCTCCCCTCCTCCCCGCCTCCGCCCCTTCTAGTAAAAAATTTTTTGAATTTCGGCGGCCCCGGCTTTTCACGGTTCGAACTGGCCATTGTTTCAGAACGCCTGTCAACGACCAAAAAAAATTTTTTTTCCAATTTCATCCAGTTCGGCTGCCTCACGTGAACCGTCCATTTTTCATTCGGCCATCCAGTGGCTTTTACATTGGTTGAACATCTCTAGATTATTACAATTGGATAAAAAGCTTTAGAACTATATATTTTAAACTGGCATGCATGGTACTGAGGTTTTCATTACCACCCCTCCTCTACCAAATAACCCTGACATTCCCATTTGGAATGACCACTTCTTGGTTGTTCCTCCATGGCCCCTTCTTCCCTTCCTATTCCCTTTACATGGACGGTTAATACGCAAAGGGCTCTTCGACTTTGAAGACTGCAGCAGAAGTGTAATGATCAATGATTGCCTTACATGTCACACAGTTTGAACCACATTAACGACCCCACTATCTTTCCCATCATGTGCCATTAATTAATTCTTACCCCCCCCCCCCTTGCCCCTCTTCCCAATAAAAAATTTTTCGGATTTCGGCGGCCCCGGCTTTTCACGGTTTGAACTGGCCATTGCTTCAGAAAGCCTCTCAACGGCCAAAAAAAATTTTTCCCAATTTCACCCAGTTCGGTCGCCTCACTTGAACCGTTCACTTTTCATTCGGTCATCTAATGGCCCTTACATTAACATCTCTAGATTATTACAATTGGTTAAGAAGTTTTTTGAACTATATATTTTATACTGGCACGCATGGTACTGAGGCTTTTTTTACCATCCCTCGTCTACCAAACAGCCCTGACATTCCCATTTGGAATGATCACTTCTTGGTCGGGCTTCTGTGGCCCTTTCTTCCCTACCTATTCCCTTTACATGGACGGTTAATACGCAAAGGGCTCTTCGACTTTGAAGACTGCAACAGAAGTGTAATGATCCATGATTGCCTTACATGTCATACGATTTGAACCACATTAGCGACGCCGCTATCTTCCCTATCATATTCCATTAATTCTTCCTCTCCCCTTCCCCCTCCCTCGCCCCCGCCCTTCCTTCCAATAAAAAAATGTTTTGGATTTCGTCGGCCCCGTCTTTTCACAGCTCGGACTGGCCGTTGCTTCAGAACGCTTGGTTCGGCTTATCAGTGGTCGAAAAAAGTTATTTTCCAATTTCACCCAGTTCGGCCTCCTCACTTGGGCCGTCCGTTTTTCATTCAGCCATCTAATGACTCTTACATTAGTTTAACATCTCTAGATTATTATAGTTGGGTAAGAATTTTCTGAACTATAAATTTTATACTGGCACGCATGGTACTGAGGCTTTTTTTACCATCCCTCGTCTACCAAACAGCCCTGACATTCCCATTTGGAATGATCACTTCTTGGTCGGGCTTCTGTGGCCCTTTCTTCCCTACCTATTCCCTTTACATGGACGGTTAATACGCAAAGGGCCTTTCGA